TATGTGGATGTATATTTCCAAGGATCTCGCGGGTTAAACACAAGAAAAAGTTAGAGTTTGAAACTTGATCAACATCTTTGATTGGAGAACTTTGTATCAGTGGATGTCTTTCCACGAGAATCAAGCTCACCATGTCAAGTGGGTCATAGCCCCTGACCCAGGTTGTTGTACTTGATCTTTGACGGCGTTTGTTTAGAGGAAAATGAATCCTCTCGCCCTTTGAAAGACGTCTAGTTCAACGTGACCCTGCATCAAAGACCCTCGAGATCCTTGAAATGGTTATTGAAAATGCTATGGTATGATGTTATGATTTTATGTACAAATATGCAAGGTAAGCAAGTGTATATACAAATAATTATATTCACACAAAGCAGATAAGTCCTTAGGTTTAGGCTTGTATGGAGCTTGTAGGTAAATACCCTCTTGAAGTTTTGTTGGCTCAACTTGTCCTAGAAATAGTAATCGGGTTCTAAGGAGCTCAATATCACTGGATTATTTCCTTGTTCACTGTTTCAATTTAGCCTCTTACCGGTGACCGAAATATTCCAAGGAAACAACCCTCAATGAGTGTAGTATCGAGTATCAACCAATTTTCAGCTATACACCGAAACCGGTCATCTCACTACGTCCTAATGGCCAAGTTGGTCAAGTAAGGTTCTAAGGTCAGTTGATGCTTCATGACACCATGCGGCGGCCCCGTACTCTCCTTGATTCGACTCAAGGGTTACTGGTACCAACCAAAGTGCCACATCAACGTAGCTACTGCTTCAACCATTTCGGTATACGCCACACAGTTCCCTCACAATTTATTGCTACTTACCTAAAAGGTGCCCCCAAATCCGGGTGTAGGATTCAAACCCAAACAATATAACCAAAGTCTAAAGCAAACAAGTCGAGTAAGATAAGCATGTAAAGGTGATCTAAAACCCTAAGGTAACCCCACTTTTATATAATTCCCCAGCAGAGTCTCCAGTTCTGTGATACGGTGGGAGAACTGACTTGATGTTTTCCGTTTCGTTCGCACTTGTGCAGATAGCAAGAGTCGCCACCGAATTTTCTTTTATCCAAAAGGAAAGGTAAAAAAGCACAGGAAAGACCTTTCGAGAATTTTCTCGGGTTCGGGGGGTAGATTATGAAAAGGGAAGGTATTAGCACCCTTTTCATCCATGGTTTTCCATGGGCTCTTAGTTACTCGTTTAGATCACTTGCTTTTGTTTGATTGTGTGCTTGTGGTGTGTGTTTTGAAAGTATTTTGGAAAATTTCTTTGTAATGGTTCTCGTCTCTATAAGAACGTATACAAAGTTTTATTTCGAAAAAATGGTTCAAAGATGTGTTTGTGAATCGTGTTTCGAAAAGTGTTTTGAAAAAGAGGTTTTGCCATGGTTCTCGTCTCTATAAGAACGTATACAAAATGTTTTAACTTTTTGAAATTGTTTTGAAATGGAAGTGTAGGTGTAAAAGTTTTTGTCGTGAGCAAGCGAGTAACTAAGAGAAAATCTATCTACTCGAAAGGTCTTAAGTTGTTCTTTTCTTCTTCCTTTTAATGGTGCTATCTTACCATTGATTTGGTAAGAAGCCCCACCATTGGATGTAAAGGGACAGGAGCGGGTCAATTTTACAATCATTGAAGGCAACTTGTGAGACGCTCTAGCAATTTTTGTAAGGGACAAGATCATTTTAATCGAAGGCAACATCGAGGGTCATCGAGGGACTACGATCTTTGTTTATCAAAGGGTCATTGCTAGAGTGTCTCATATTCGAGGGACATGATTGTATTTTCGAGGCAACGAGCGGGGTTACCCTAGAGGTGCGCGTGTGAAAAAGTGTGTTGGTTTCAAGTTATTTATTCTTTGATTAGGTCATCTAGCGATTGATTTTTGAATCTTGCCATACATGCCTAATTACTATACAGTATATGGAAAACAGTAAATTGCGAGAATTGAAATTCTACGCTATTACAACAGTATCCGGGAATGGGGGTACAATTATTACAAATGGGGATGAATCAAATGAAAATAGCAATGTCCAAATATCAAACAATACAACCAAATCGAATTGTTGTGCGATTTAATACAAAGCTATGATAATTTATGAAATAAAGTCAACAAGATATGAAATGGAATGTATTTACTTGAAAAGAGAAAAAAATAAACCTATTCTAAAAAATTGATTATAGTCTTTATTAATATTTTTTGTGTATTTTATTAATTATATAAAAAAAGTTTTAAAGAAATAAAACTAACTAAATTAATGTTTTTTTGGTGTTTTTATTAAATGTAAAAAAAATTAATAAAGACAAATTATAAAAAAGAAAATGATAAAAAATTAACTTCAAGACTTAAATTAATTTAATAAAAAAAATGTATTGAGTTTTATTAGTATATCATTAACAAAAAAAGAAACAAATTAACTAACAAATGACAAATGGGCTTAAGGGATTTAAAGGATTCTTGACCCAAAGAAAAATTGTCATTGTTGAAACAAAAAGAAACAAGGCCAGATGGGAGGGGACAAAACGCGTTTGGGCTTTAGGGAAATGGGAGCAAAACCGGCCCAAGGCCCTTTAACTTTGTTTAACGTTTTTTGATTAGGGGAAACATGAATTAGGGTTTGTGGTTTTGTTGCTCACAGCGGCGCCGCTTCTGACCGTCTCTTCCTCTTCTCCCTCTCGTTCATCTTTCTCACTAAATGTCCCTCTTCTTCTTCCTAATCTCATGAACAAAAACCTCTCTTGGCCTCTCCGACTCAAACTGATTCACGTTTTTTTTCTTCTGGAAACCCTAGGTTCTGAAATGGATTTGTCTAAAAGGTTTGAAATTTGTTTTGATCTGATCTTCCCCTCACTTCCGTTGCCGGAGCTCCTCTCAACCTCACTTCCTAAACAAATGCTAACGGCTTTGTTCTTGAAAGGTAAAGTTTTGTTTTTGGCTTAACAATTTCATTGGTTTTGTATGTTTTGTTTGTTAATCAGGCTTATTGTCTTATTGAGATGCAGAAAAATAATGTTATGAGGAAACCATACCTGTTTGGGATTTTTATGGAATGGAAGAGGATAGTGAGATTGAGGGAAGCGATGCTCCTTGGTGGCCGGAGACGGGGGAAGAAATGATGATTGGAAGAATGCGTGCTTCTGGTAACCTTTTATTTTTCTATCTTCTATGTTGAATGATGATGATGATGATGCTGAGACTTTGTGATTGTTCTATTTTTAACAGTTTTGATACTTTGTTCTGGAATTTGGTTTTGTGATGATGTTTTTCTGGGATGATGTTATTGTGCCTTTGACAGTTGGATGTTGTGTTTGAAATTTTTTTTGGTTATGAACTGTTGAAATGGTTTTACAGTTTAGAGGTTTTGGGTTTGGAAATGTTTTTGAGAATGGTTGGTGATTGCTGGTTTTGACAGTCTGGAGGTTTGATATTGTTGGAATGCTTTTTACTGTTTGGGTTTGACAGTTTTGAGGTTGGATTTTCTAGTTTTTGTTTTGGTTACAGTTTGGCTTGGTATGTTGTTGTTACAGTTGCAGGTTTGGTTTGGGATATTGGTTTGTAACAGTTTTGAGGATTTTTATGGTTTGAACTTGTTAGTTATCAACAAGTTTTTTTTGTTATTGTAAGCTTGACAGGTTTTGTTGACTGTTTATTTGAACTGCTTGACAGTATTTTGAAGGTTATGTTTGTGGCCTTGAAATCAAGCTTGGGATATTGGTTTGAAATGTTACAGGCTTGGTTTAGGATATTGGTTAACAGGTTTTGGTTGTGTTTTATGGAAGATGGAAGTTTGACAGTTTTTGATACTTCAGATTTTTTGTTGTTGTAATTTCTGAGTTTGATAAAAATGTCTTCCCTTCCTTTGCTTTAGCCTTGTCCATTGTTATATTCAGGCTGCTTTTGTTTGAAATTATGGGAGGGAAAAATAGATTTTTAAGTCAATTGTGGGAGGGGAAAATAGATTTTTAGAGTTTCAAGAAATTGTTAAAAATAAAAATTTACATTAGAGTTTCAAGAAATTGTTAAAAATAAAAATTTATCAACATCTTTTTAGGTCAATTGTGGGAGGGGAAAATAGATTTTTAGAAGTTGATTTGAACAATCTTCCGATTAATCCAAGAGAGAAGATAAAATTTTGATGTTATCATCCAAATGACCGAGATAACATTCAATTAGCTTATTTGCAAAAAGGATATTGTCAACCAAGAGAGTATGATTTTCCAAAAAGAAAAATTGGATCTCTTTTTAGTAAGTTTAATAGTGGTTGGTTTTTAGAATTTAAAAGTTGATTAGGATATAGTGTGTCAAAAGATGCTGTATTTTATTTACGTTGTTATCTCATGAGATTCAATATTGGAGAAAAAAAAGTAGTGATGTTTTTTTCATTAACGATTTTTCAAATTGTAAGAAAAAGGAAATGTTAGTTATAAATGTTAAAAAATTTAAGATTAAATATACAAATCTCGTTTTTAATATTAGTGAGATTTGTTTTTTTCAATTATGTGCACATGAAATATTTTTAATTATTTATTTATTTTTAAAAGTCCATGTGGACTTTTTTATATACTTTTTTAATTATTTTTTTAGGTTTTCTTTAATTTTTTTATGAATTATTATTTTTAAAATTTAAGTTATCAAAATATGATATTAGGGCTTAAGTCCAATTCTCTTTCAAGAGCAGTCCAACACTTAATACTATTTTACTTCGTGTCATATAGATGACTTGTGGTGTATTTTCTGTAATTTTTTTTCTTAAAATAAATTTTGTCATTTGAAAAAATTAAAAGGAGAGTAATTAATAAAAATAATGCTTCATTAATATGATTAAAGAAAAAAACGTCCCATCATATTCTGTCACGCGAAGGTTCATTTTTGTTTATAGCGGGAAAAGTTTCTACAGTTTTTGAGATGAAAATCAAATCACAACTTTAAAGGGCAAATTGGGAAATAAAAAAGCTTCTTCACATTCCACATAACAACAACAACAACGCGTTCAGTTAGTATCTCCAATGGCACAAAGAAGAGTTAGAAAAAGGGTTTACGCTATTCCTCGTGCTCCTGACGGAAGTGCTTTTTTCAACTGGTGACTCTTTTTTCTACTCTCTACTTTTTCATTCTTTTCATTGATTTTTGTTCTTACAAATATTTGATTTGGTTCAATGTTGTTGCAGTGGAAAATGTGGAGTTTCTGTTGCTATTTCTTTGGCTGATATGCATCTTTGTGAATCCGATAAAATCCATTACAATTTTTTTCAACCAGAACCACCTCTTGAAATCTACGATCTACCACGTTCGCCTTTCCGTCTTTTTATGTAATTTTCATTCTCACCCGATGCTCTTTTTTTTTTTCATCTTGTATTTTTATGCAAGGTTTTAAAAAGCCGTCGCCGTCACCGTCACCGTCGCGTAAAGCATTTTCCGATGGCGGTTCGGATAGGGACAATTTTTTTAGAACAATGTATTCATTAATTTTCTTTATTAGGGAAAGTTTTTCTAGAGGTAAAGAAATGGAAAGTTATTTTGAAGTTGAGAGATTGGGCTTTGAAATGTGGCAAAATATGACTGAGATGGTAATTATATATATATATATATATATATATATATATATATATATATATATATATATATATATATATATATATATATATATATATATATATATATATATATATATATATATATATATATATATATCATTTTTTATTTTCATATATACATATATATGTGTGAAATTTGTTAAACATGTTTTGTATTTTCTATTTAGGACAAGTTACCATATACCTCACATGCTAATTTGTTGGACGATTATCACCGACGAGCTTTGAAGCGCGAGGCTAATGAGATTATAAAGGTGACTTTAAAATGCAAATGTTGACATTAATTAGTTTCTATTAGAAAGAGAATTTTTTGTTATGAATTCAATTTGTTTGTTATTCAGCTATTGAGCGGTTACTCTTACGAATCATATCTTATTGATGGTATGAAATAGAAATGTTAGTCTGGAGTGTAAAAACTATAGTGATTATTGGTGTGAGACATTGAAGCAAACAAAAGATAGTATTTACTCTCAAACTTTAGTTATGTAAGTAGATATTGACCAACAAAGTTGTAGAAGCGGAATGTAATTTTTAAATTTCATTTTTTGTTCATGTTATTTTTATGTGGATTTAGATTTAATGCATGTAAAATATCCTTGCATTTGCTATAAGGCAACTAATTTCAATATGCTTATTTTAGATAAACTATGGAGCTGAGTCACTATTGGTTGAGAATTTTGAGAAGGTTTGTTTACTAAATCTCAATTATTTTCTTGCATTATGTTACTTTTACACAAAGATAATGTTAAATCTTTGTCTTCTAAATCTCAATGATATTTTAAATTTTGGTTGTTTGCTACTTTTATACATAATAATATTAAATTTTTGTTTGTTTGAATGGTTTGCAGCCTCAAAGAACTTTAGAGAAATCTAAGACGACTCCAAAGCATGGGTTTTTATACAGGGATCATGGAGTCTATTACGCTTGGTTATCTTGCGGTGAATTATCATAAATTAGGATTATCTCGTGGTAAATTATGATAAACTTTTTTGATTAGACAATTTTATATATGATGCACATGAGACTTGTTCATATTTTTTTTGTGATTATCTTATGTTAAGATAGAAGATGCTAATTAGACGACTGGTTTTTTTGTTTATGTAAACACTTTTTGGTGGTTAATTTGCCATTACTTAACCACTCCTCAATGATCTCATTTTGATCATGTTTTTTGAGTTTATGTTTTTGTAGAGGTTTAAATTTCCCTTTCTCCCTTATTTATGTTTTCAACGATATATCGTTAATGATATAGTAGGATTTATTTTTTTATATTCTTTATTGAATTAATCAATAATTTTGTTAGGTATTTATTTTAAATTAGACTATTTTTTGTGGTCGGGTTATTTCTCAATCATTTTGAAATTAAATAAGAATGAGAACAGTGTAAAAAAAACTAATAGGTCCAGAAATAGTAACAATTAAATAATTAGAATTATATAGTATGAATTGAAATTTTATTAAGAAATTAACACATGGGTAAAAAAACAATAGCAATTAATTAATTGAAATGATTTAATAGAAAAATTGACGAAGCATAGAAAGGTCAGAAATAAAATAAAAAATTGTAATGAAGCATTTATAATAATTTTTTTTCATTTCTTATTTTGATTTCTATTCAAACACTTTATATTTATAATTTTATACTATCTATTCAATTAGTTTTTTTTTTAATTTCACATTTTAATAAATATTTTAAACATGATTCTTAATATACTTTAACTATTAATATTTTGATCTAATTATTTAATGATCAAATTATTTTATTTATAAGAAAAATAGAATGTCGAAAATTTAAATCCAATCAAATATTAATTAAGTTGAACTAATAATATTTTTAATCTATTAATTATAACAGAGATGTAAATAACTATTAAATTAATGTACTTATTTTAAAACTTTTTTCTTCTATATGTTGAACATAGACAATTAGTTTTGATTTTCCTATTTAGTTGTAATATTTCTATCATATAAAGAGTTTAAAAATGATAGAAAATAGTATCATTATTATTAATAAAAATAGATATCACTTTTATCTCATAGTATACCATGTTTCCTTTCTTAACTAATGTGCATTTAAAAAAAATATATAATTGAATGCACTATTTTTTTCTTCGAAATAGTCGTTACACGACTAATCTTAAATGTAGAAACTTTTTGTGATTTTTTTTTATTTTATAAAAAAACCTTTTATACTATTAAATTTAAAAAATATAAATATTCGTAAGAGACATATTTTAAATTAAACATTTCGTTTAGTGAGACTTAGTGAGACTTAATATTTTCTCAATCGATAATAAATCAAAATGGTTATATTAATAAGTAGTGGTAATCGTTGACATTCAAAATGGTAGTTTCGATGGTTAGAGTAATTGATCGTATGTGAAGTGGATGGATACATGTAAGACTAATGTCAAAGTAAAGTTCAGAGCAAGAGCAAGTAAAGTGAATATGGATGAGTGGATGAATACCTGACCCTCTCATGTGAGAAGGTATTTATAGTCTCCAGTGTTGGGTCAAGATCCATGTATTGGACCAAGTGATTTGGACCCAATAATAAGGACTGTCAGGGTTACATGGTCCAACACACGGTCCCCTCCCTGATAAAGCGCTCCGAAAATATAGGGGCAGTAAACCCGTTATTCTCGGAGGACAAGTGGCGGTTGATGTGACTGTTGATCATGTTCCTTAATAGACATGTGGGGAAAATCTCCAAAGGCTGTCTGACTTGGGCCTGAAGCTATTAGGTCATAGGCATAAACACTGGTTTTGGGCCTGCCCATCCGTGGGCCAAGTGCCAGCCTGGTCCAGAACAAGAGCCCCCCAAGTTATTGCTCTTATACGAGAAAGTGATAACTTAAGGTTAGCTGGATTGTTGGGGAAACGTTGCTCGAAAAAGAGACTATTATTTTAACTCGAGGAGACGTTGCTTGAAGAAGAGAGCGTCTTTTGGGTCGATGAGACGTTGCCTGAGGGGAAGGCTGCTTTTCGGATCGAGGAAATATGGTCGTTAGTTGATTGATCTCCTCGCCCTTCTCCTTAGTGTTGGACAACCTTTGAAAGATTTTCCTCGACTGAGTCGTTGGCTGCCTGCTTTTGCGCACTATTCTCCTTGAGGTGCCCGTGCACTATTCTCCTTGAGGTCTTGAGACCTTACGTCAGCGCGTGGCTTCACGTGGGATTCTTTGAAGTTCAAACGACACGTCCCTTCACGTGTCACACTTGGCGGCTGTTCAGATTATCATCATTGCATGAGGAAGCCTAAAGGCCTAAGCAATGATAACTCTTGGCACGCTACCCGCGTGGTGGGGACTAGCTATAAAAAGGGGGTGAAAGAATTCTCTTGAACATTTTCACTTTTGCTCTCCTTCTGCACCTCCTCTATTCGTAAGCTGCTCCATCGTTGTTGCCATCGTCGTAGGTTTTCCAGTGTTTGTTTGTCTCCAAGTAAGTCATTTTCTTCAAGCTTTGTTAGTTTACTTTACGGTTTCATATGATGGGACGCAGTTTTCTGGCGAATTCACGAGTTCTGGGTGAAGTTTTTTGAATCCTCATGAAGTTTTCGATGAAGTTCATGAACATTTATGACACTTTCGGTGAAGTTCATGAATATTCATGACACTTTCGGTGAAGTTCATGGACTCCAGATGAAGATCCATGAGTTTCGTATGAAGGTTCTTGAGTTTTGGATGAACTTCACGTGGATCTATGTCGGGGATTGGCCCCTCGTGAATTGGGTAGATACAGGCAAACAACTCCATGTTGGGGATTAACCCCTCGTGAACTAGGTAGATACGGGGGAGCTGCCTCTCCTTGTGATCTTATGCTCGCTTAAGGGGGTTGCTTCCTTTGTGGGTTTCAAGGGCTTGAGTCGAGGACCTCCCCTCAAAGTGTTCCTTATCCTTTCACTTGATTTGCGGTGGAATGGTGGATTTGATGATGTCGAATTCAATGTTTTCCCCTGCTTTTCAGGTTAAATGGCTCAATCGGACGAGGTAGTGAATTTGCTCGGTCCTCAGGGTGTAAAAAATGCCAACGCGAGCAACAATTTGGATTGGATTGCGCCCGAGCCCGGGAATATGATGTCCGAATTCATCTACGATGCTTCAGATGCCTTCAATGTTGTCGAGGACAGGGTCGAGGGTGCTCCTACCTTTTGGTTAATTCTCATTTTGTACACGAGTCAGAGGATCTGTCCGGCCTACCTGGGCAAGCACTTTCCAATGTACGAGTTCACTTTCAAGGAGGCGGGGATGCGCCTTCCCTTTACAGCCTTCCAAGTTGGAGTTTTTAGATGGCTACACTTGGCGCCTTCGCAGCTTCACCCGAACGCTCTCGCGTCCATGCGGGCATTCAAGATCGTATGTAGGTATCTTAATATTAATGCTTCTTTATCTCTGTTCTTTCGGATCTTCCACCTCCAGCGGCAAATGATCGAGGGTCTCCAGGCCTGGGTGTCGTTCAAGCAGCACAAAAAGCTGTTTCGACCGTATCTGGAGTTCGTCCGAAATTTCAAGGAAAGGTTTTACGTCAGGAAGCCACTACCAGACGTCGCCGTGAACTCCCTGTACGAGCGTACCATCAAGATTAAGGATGGTCAGGAGGTGACTAAGTTTCAGGAGAGATTCCCCCTAGGTCTTGTTGCAGCGGTAAAGCGGCAAGTAAAAAGTAAGTTATTAATTTATCGGGTGATATTTATATTATATCGTATCGTGTCCACAAAGATTGGTTATTGAATTGTCGTTTGACAGTTCTCTCGTTAATGAGTTTGGGATATAATGGTTTTGTATGTAAGGTGATGAAATTAAAAGTTATACACAAGAAGAATTTCATCATTCGAATAGGATAGAACTCTCGAATTTGTATTTCGTCTACCCCATCAAATACTTAAACTTACTATCCATTTGTACTTAACCTTAACTACTCGTCAATATGATCACGTATCGCTCACACAGAGGTTATTTCTAACACAGAGCGAGATATCAACTGTGTTGCTCCATGTCGACGATCTCTCAGCATAAAACAAAACAACACAGAGGCATTAAGTGTAACACCCTAATTCTACCCGACAATTAATATAAAAATCAGAGTTACACAATTCTGACAACCGAATCAGGATGCTACAATTACAACTTAAAACAACGGCATTTATTGCAGATACATAACACATTATACTTGGATGAACCAACAACGACATAAATTAATCTTTTAAAATCAACAACTTTCATAACTACGCAGCATAATCAATTATTCAACTTAAAGGAATATAACATCTTTATTCAACTAAAACAACTTCAAATAACAGTTATTTAACGAACAATAACTTAAAGTGCAGCAACTGAATAATAACAACAATAAATTAGCAAGCGTTCACCCCCCCGAGTGTTACGTATCAGAGCAATGACACCGACTCGAACTACTGAAGGTAAACCACCTTCACTCTGGATTACCTGCAGGTTACCAACATCAGGGTAACATTCAAACATAAGGGGTGAGATATTGAACAATATAATAGAACGTATGATAAGTAAAACATTAGAATCAGTTCATACATATTCACCACTTCTCAGATTTTAGCAACATAAGCATAATCAACTCAACCACACAACTACTCAGAATGTAACACATAATGCAACTTGTCTTTATACAAATGCATGTGGTACTAACGGAGCAGAACTCTCAACTTAAGAATCTGCCAATAAATAGAGGCATCAACAAGGCATAAGCCTTCAACTTAATATTTTTCCAATCTAGGCCAACTTAATGAGAATCAACTCCAACCTGATATGCGATGTATGCGACACGACATGAACGTAGCAACAACAACAACAAACAACAACTCAACATAAATCAACATTAGCTATAAGCCTACAACATCAACAACAATTCAACATAAATTCAACATAAATCAACATTGGCTATAAGCCTACAACATAATGTCTGCCAATAATTAGA